GTCTCTCTCCCTTTATTTCTTTCATTATGGTCTCCTTGTACCATGCCTGACCTGCTGAATGTTTCCAGGAATTTGTTACATTTAACAAAAAGTTTTGTGTATTCACTGCATATCAATGTCCCAGATGGTATCCCTTACACAGCACAAACATTCCTATTGAAACTCTGATTCACTGTGAGCAATGTCAGAGGAGATATCTAATAATTTCCATTCTCAGTTTCAATTTCTCTGAATCAAGATTTTATCATGCCTCCTGATCCAAGTTCCCCAAACTCTAATACTTACTCAGTCTGTTTATGATATGAAAATACCTATTTTTGGTTAGAATCTTTTTTGTCTTATGATTGACAGTAACCTGCTACATACTTAGAATATCATTTAGAAAATGTTATCTTCTAAAAGGTGGAAATTTAAAGATGTTGCTTTTCTCCATGTAAGACCCCTTTACTCAAAAATTTTCAGTTTTAATGCTTTAATTTTAGAGGAAGCATGATGAAACCCAAAGTATCGGGTACCAAAAGCTTGAAAAAGTTAAAGAAATCCAGCATAACAAGCCCCCAAAGCATAATACTGAAAATGTGAGAAACCTGAAACTAGAACAGAAGAATCGATTTCTGATGAAAGGTCAAATATCTGAAATATACACTGTTGTTTCTGCAGAGATGCTGCCTAATCTGCTAATGTTTCCAGCATTTTCCAGTTTTTATTCCAGCCCCATTTATTGTCAAAGTTGTCCAGATACCTAGGGCTGTGTTTTCTTAAAGATTTCCGTTTTTGTATCTATTATTTCGCACTATCAAAATCAAGATAAAAAAGTACTTAGTAAATCCTGCATCATTTACAACTTCCCCTCTAAGTCATGCATCATCTAGACCTGGAAATGAATTCCTTCTCCTTCTTCCTCACAGTGAAAATGAAGCACCTTACTATTAAGAGATAGGAAGAACTGCCGATGCTGGAGTCAGAGATAACACAGTGTGGAGCTGGAGGAATACAGCAGGCCAGGCAGCATCAGAGGAGGAAAGCTGACGTTTCTTCAGAAAAATCTGAAGAAGGGTCCTGACCTGAAACGTCAGCTTTTCTGCTCCTCTGATGCTGCCTGACCTGCTGTATTCCTCCAGCTCCACACTGTGTTATCTCTACACCTTACTATTCAGCAGTTCATTGTGAGTATTGTGCTCAATGTTGGTCTCCTTACCTGGAGAAGGATGTTCTGGCTATGGGGAGAATGCAATGAAGTACACTGATTCCTGGGACAGTAGAACTGACATATGAAGACAGTTAGGCCTATATTCACTGGAGTTAAGAAGAATAAGGGAGGCTGTCATGGAAATCTACGAAATTCCAACAGGAATTACTTGAGAAAGGATGTATTGGCACTGGAGGGGGTGCAAAGGAGGTTCACTAGGTTGATTCCGGAGTTGAGGGGGTTGGCTTATGAGGAGAGACTGAGTAGATTGGGATTATATTCATTGGAATTCAGAAGATTGAGGGGGGATCTTATAGAAACATATAAAATTATGTAGGGAATAGATAAGATAGAAGTAGAGAGGATGTTTCCACTAGCAGGTGAAGCTAGGACAAGAGGGCATAGCCTCAAGATTAGAGGGAGCAGATTTAGGACTGAATTGAGAAGGAATTTCTTCACCCAGAGGGTTGTTAATCTATGGAATTCCTTGCCCAGTGGAGTAGTTGACGCTACTTCAGTAAACGTTTTTAAAGATAAGGTAGACTTTTTTTGAACAATAAAGGAATTAAGGGATACGGTGAGAACGCGGGTAAGTGGATCTGAGTCCACGAAAAGATCTGCCATGATCTTATTGAATGGCGGAGCAGGCTCGAAGGGCCAGACGGCCTACTCCTGCTCTTAGTTCTTATGTTCTCATAAATAAAAACAGGAATTCAGACAGGATAAATGCAGGAAGGATGTTGCCGATGGCATGGGAGTCCAGAACAATGATCGCAACCTAAGGATGCGGAGCAGGCCATTTAGGACTGGGATAAGGAGAAATTTCTTCATCCAGAGTGGTGAGGCTGAGAAAATCTCTGCCACAGAAAGCTGTTGAGGCCAAAACATTGAATAATTTCAAAAAGAGTTAGATATTCCTCTTAGGGCTAAAGGGATCAAAGGGTATGGGGAGAAAAAGAGAACAAAGCACTGAGTTGGATGATCAACTATGATCGTATTGAATAGCAAAGAAGGTTCTAAGGGCCATATAGCCTACTCCTCCTGCTCCTGTTTTCTAAACTTCTATCTTTACCTTTACCCCACGGGGTGCAGCAATTCATGATGGCAGTTTACCAATTCTGAGGGTAACTAGGGATATGCAAAAGTGCTGACTTTACTCAATGATTCTGTATGAATGAACAAAATAAAAGGCATCACTAAGTTACAGTGCTCACTAGTTCTTCTCCCAAAGCATTCTCGAGAGCTTTTTGAAAGATTCTCCCAGAATCCATATTGTTGAAAAACTCCAACTTGGTAAAGACGAAATGAACAGTTGAAAAATTGTTGCTCATATATGCATTAAATATGTTATAAACCAAATCACGAATGCATAAAATTAACTCAAATTGAATAGGTAACCCAACGGAATCTGGCAAATTTATAAAAAGTTATGGTTTTAGAGTAACTAATTCTATTTTCATTGTGGTAGATTCTAGGATCTTTATTCAGTGCTTAGGGAATGACCTGCAGGAATCCCATCTCCTTCTTCAGCTCTTGGATCCAATGTAAATGCAGGTGCATGCAACAGACCTATTGGCTTAATCAACTTTATGAAGACCTTATGCTCTGCAAACAGAACTTGCTTTTTCCTGATTAATGACCCTTAGTGTCATAAGAGTTGTCATAACAGCCTTGAAATCAAACTTAAGGTTAAATTCTCAAATGAATGCCAATCACTTTCCTAAGGAGTCAAGGAATGGAATGCAGACAGGAAAGTGTGATGAAGTCACAACCAGATCAGCCGCAATCTTACTGAATGTGGAGCATGCTCAAAGGGCAGAATGGTCTACTCCTGCTCCCCAGACCTTTATTCAAATGAGATCTTGATCAGCTGGGCCAACGGGCTGAGGAGTGGCAGATAGAGGTTAATTTAGATAAATGCTAGGTGTTGCATTTTGTCAAGACAAACCAATATAGGACTTACACAATGGGGAGTGCTGTCAAACAGAGAAACTCAGGCATTCAGGTACATAGTTCCTTGAGAGTAGTGTCACAGGTAGACAGGATCGTAAAGATGATGTTTGGTACATTTGCCTTCACTGGTCAGTCCAATGAGTATAGGAGTTGGGATATCGTGTTGTACCTGTACAAGACGTTGGTGAGGCCACTTTTGGAGTCCTGCACACAGTTCCTGTTGCTCTGGTATAGGAAGGATGTTATTAAACTAGAAAGGGTGTAGAAAAGATTTACAAGGATGTTACCGAGACTGATGGTTTGAGTTATGAGGAGAGGCTGGATACACTGGGACTCCTTTCCCCTGCAGCATAGGAGGCCGAGGGGTGACCTAGTAGAGGTTTATAAAATCATGAGAGGCTTGGACAAGGAGAATAGTCAGGGTCTATTCCTCAGGGTAGGGGAGCCCAAAACTAGAGGGTTTAGGGTTAAGGTAAGAGGGGAAAGGTTTAAAAGGGACTTGAGGGGTAACGTTTTCACACAGAGGGTGATGCAGATATGGATCGAACTGCTAGAGGAAGTGATACAGGCAGGTGCAATTACATTTGACTCTCAATGCCAATTTTCATGCCTCTTCCAATTGCTTATATTTTCCCCATTGTGTTCTTCAGTCCTTCTCCTTGCCACTACATATCCCCTTCTCTACCATCAATGTCCCTACCCTATTTACCTGCTCAATCCTTTATGCACCCCTGCTGCTCCCGTCATCACTAATTCATGTAACCTTAATATACTATCACTTGATTTCACCTCTAGGTAATGAAAGGCCAGAGATCCCCTCGCCATAACCAATCACTCTGTTACCTTCCATTCTCAAAATGTTTCCATAAAAGAGAAATTGCTTTCGAAATGCAATCATTTTCAAAACTTGTATGGATATAGTGGAAAAACAGGACTGCGAATGCTGGAAATCTGAAACAAAAACAGAAATTGCTGGAGAAACTCAGCACATCTGGCAGTATGTGTGGACACCAAAGCAGATTAACATTTTAAACCCAATGACTCTTAACCACCCACAGCTCTTTGTTTTATTTTTACATAATATAATTAGTATCCACGATTTAAACCAATCCTCTTTATTCATAACCCTACCCTCACAAACATAGATAGACAGACAGACAAGGACAGATAAGGGATAATTCATTTAAGAAAAAAGAAAAGTGCGACCGGCAGATCACTTCAGCAGTTCCGAACGATGGTTACTGAAACTTCAAGCTATCCTTGGATAATGTGCTGTTCGCTGAAAAGTGGAACTGTTGAATTCTGAAGGCGCTGGTAAATGCAAACAGCTCCTACAGACTGCTGGAGATTTTTACTTATGTCCTACAGATTGAGGTTCTTTTCTCAGAACTTCCACTAATTCGATAACTGGAGAATAACTTGAAAGCAACCAAAATTGCATCCAGCAGCTTTCATAGCCATACTGCCTTCTGCCCAAAACCTAGTCCAAACTAGTTCAATCTTTGGTTTTCTTTCTTCTTTTTCAGTATTCTCTGTGCTTGACCTGCAGACACTGGCCTTCCTTTGAATGACCCTTAAGCATAATCCAACTCAAGTGCGAAACATTTGTAGTATTCTTAGAACAATAATCAAACTGCAATTAACTTTCCAGGCCAGTTCCCATAAACAAATATCAGTTTGTTTGTTCTTTCCTTTTTTAGAAAGACGAGCCACTGCTCAAAGTCCAAAATTGAACTCTCAACTTCAACTCACAGTTCCAAACCAAAAATGAGAAAAATAAAGAAAACCAATTATGGTCTGAACAGTAATAACTATTCAATTGGATCCCGGATAAGTGACCATAAGTGGTGAATAAACAGAAGCTTATAGCCTGCAAACAGAAAGACCTAAATCTCTCTCTGTGTGAAGTAACAGAAAGTCTCCTGCTCTCGCTCACCATTCCCCTGTAAGCTGCTCTCTCTGCAAATCTCTTGTTGAAAGGAAAAGGGGATAAAAACACCTTCTGAGGAATTGAAAGGGTAAATTCTTAACCAGAGAATGACTGAGAATCAGTGTATCCACCATTTTGTGTTATTAGCAGAGGAATGCCAGTCTAGATTTCATACTCAAGACCCAGATTAGAACTAAATCCACAACCTTTTAAGTCAGAGTTGAGACTGCTAGCAACTGAGGCACAGCTGATAGTCAAGGATCTTGCTTCTCATTTGCAACTCTCATCATCTCTCTCACTTTGTTTGACAAGCTTAATCAATCCCAACATAAAATGATTGTAGTAATAGCTAAAACATACCTGTCTCTGAATTCCAAACATAACATATTCCATCTTCACTCCCAGAAAAAAGAAACATCCCACATGGTGTGAATGTGCTGTACAGCTGCTCACGGTAATTTGTAGCTCCTGTATACTTCTTTGCAGCCAATCTATAAATTAAAGAGCACAGAACCTAGGAATTCAGAGAGTCTGGAAAATAAACTAAAATATAAGGACTCCTAAAAGGATAGTAAGAAACTATATCTAATCAGAACTTCACAATACCATTTTAATCAGCCTGTTTCTCCTCAGCTGCACTGCTGCAGGAAATAAACATTTTTAGTTGTTCATATAATGATCTTGATGAGTAGTTTGTAGGGACAGGTTACTATTCATGGGCAATTAAAAAGGTTCAATGAGTGCTCTGTGATTTCCCAGTCTGCATCTTCAATTATTTATTAGTCAGGCAGCATTCCCTTGGAATGAAAACTATTTCCAAAAATAGAGACAAATCAGAACACGGGTATAGTAGGTTGATTAATCTGCAGTCCATTACTGGGAAGACGCTAGAACCAATTCTAGGAATCAGTCACTATGTTCAGTGATAAACAAAAGGTACCATTAGCAATTTAAAATATAGCTTCTGAAAAAAAACTTGTGAGGAAGCCATTATGGAGGCCAATAAGATACGCCTAACTGAACTTTCATTAAAGTTTCATGAAGTCATTCATTAAATATTTCAAACTGTTAAGAGTAATGTCTGGTAGCAATCTGAAGAACTACATTAGGAACTAACTCCAATCTTAAAGCCAAAATGTTATACATGAGGATGCATCTCATTCTGAAGACATGTTACTGTGCTAGTGTCACTCTTTGTACTATTTATTAATAACCTGAGAGAGGACACTAAAACACGTTAAGAAGTAGAGCAGTGCAAACAAATCTATGAAGATTTAGATGCGCTAATGCAGCAGGTCACATAATGGCAGTTGGTATTTAGATAAACGTAGTTGCGTGAATTAATACAGTCTACATGCATAATTTCAAGGGAATAACATAAGAGGTGAAGAGAAAAAGGATTATTGTGCCACAAATTTTTAAAAATCCTTGATTTTGGCTAAAGCTAGTAGAATGTTTCAATTATAATATTCAATTACAAAGTTTTGAAACTTTCAGGTTCTTGGTCAGACTGCATGCGGAATACTGTGCCTAGTTTTGAACCCAACATGGTTATGGTGGTGTTGGAAAAATTAGGGATCAGTTAAATGAATAATTCCCAGTTTAAAAACCCTCAACTAGGCAGCTAGTTCAAATACCTTTGTCTATCTATATAAAAGCAACGTAGACTTAGAAGTGTTCTGAATGAGACTTATATGAAAAGAAAAAAGGATTTGCATTTATATAGCCCCTTTCATGACCATTGGAAATTTCAAAGCTTTATGAAGTGCAGTTACTGACGTATTTTGCACAAATTTGCACAAAGCAAGCTCCCAAAAACAGGAATGTAATAATCATCATAAAACAGATTATCCAGTCATTGAGGGATTATAAAACAGCCATTATGCTGGAAATAACTCCTCCTTCTTCTTTGAACGATCGTCATAGATCTTTTGCATTCTTGCTGAGAGGGCAATTAAGGATCTCGGTTCAACACCTCATTCAAAAGATGGCATCTCTGGCAACACTCCCTCACTACTGCACTAGAATTATTTACATTGCAGATTTAATGCAAAGGAACATTCCAAGGGGCTTTATAGAAACAAATGAACAAGCTCCATAAGAAGCCATTAGTTCAGATAAGCAACAGCTTAGTCAGAGAGATACGGTGAAGAAGTGTTTTAAAGAACGAAAGCAAAGTACGTAGATAGTAGGGACGTAGAGGCAGGAGTAAGCCATTTGGCCCAATGAGGCTGCTCCATCATCAACAAGATCATAACCAACCTGGTTGTGTTCTCAGCTCTCTTTCCTGTCTGCAACCCATACCTCTTGACTCTCTTGTCTATCAAATATGTATCTAACTCAGCCTTGAATAAATTTAAAGACCCTGCCTCCGCTGTCTTCTTGGTAAGAGAATTCCAAACTCTATGATGCCTTTGAGGCAGAACAAAATCTCAATGTTACATCAAGCAGTTAGTACCTGAAAAGGTTAAATGACATCATGAGATAAGCTCTGCCCCATCAGATTATAAAATACTCCTCCTGGGAGTAGATCACTGGTTCATGTACCAGTGTTACAAGACCAGTTCAGTGCTTAGTTCCATGTAGCTCATGGTAATATGTACTTACTCTCAAGTCCGGCCAGATGTCCCAGAAGAGACTAATCACATAACTCATACAATACACCATTCTGTTTAATAAGACCAAGCTCTCTCTGACCAAAGACTTTGCATGGATGTCTTTCCCCACATGGTATGAGTAACATGGACTAATGTCAATAAGAAGGATTAGTAGCAATGAATCTACCCCAAAGTATTTCAGATGGTTCCAGTGGACACGGTCATAGTAAATACCAAGCTAACAGCAGTGCTGACTTTGTCTATACTATTCATCTCTGCATTATAAGAGAGACCTCTTACTCTTAAACTAGCCTTCTTCAAAAGAGGAAAGGTCCTGTGGTCATCCACTCTATCCAGTCCCCTTAAGATCTTATCAAAGCAAAATATTGCAGATGTTGGAAATCTGAAATAAAAACATAAAATGCTGGAGAAACTCAGCAGGTCTGGCAGCATCTGTGAAGACAGAATCATAATTAGAGGTGGCCTTCTGATCTTGTATGCTTCAACAAGATCATCTCTCATTCTTCTAAACTCCGCTGGTTACATAAACGAAAACTATTTTCTACTCAACCTGTTCAGAGATGTAATTAGACACTTTGGAACAGGTGGGACTTAAACTCAGTCTTCCTGGCTCAAAAGGTAGAGATACTACCACTGCACCACAACAGCGAGTGGTTATAGGCTTAATCTGTTCTGGTTTTCTTCATTAGATTAGCCCTTCATCCCAAGAATGAGTTGAATGAAATTTCTCTGAACTGCTTCTAAAGCAATTTTTGAAATAAGGAGACTTAAAACGTACATGGCACTCAAGACGTGTCTCATCAGCTTCAATAAAGCTCCCCTATTTTAATATTCCATTCCCCTCACAACAGAAGACCAACATTCCATCTGCCTTTCTAATCACTTACTGTACCCACATTCTAACAATGTGATTCATGTACTAGGACACACAGATTCTTCTGTACCACAGAGTGTTGCAATCTCTCTTCATTTAATTAACATACTGCTTTTCTATTCTCCCCGCCAAAGCTGTCAAGCTTATTTTACATACATTCTACTCCATTTCACAAATTTCCTTCCATTCACTTAAGCTGTCAATATTCCTTTTCATAAGACCATAAGACACAAGAGGAGGCCATTCATGAAGTCTGCTCCACCATTCAATGTAATCACGGCTGATAATCCTCAACTTCACTTTCTTGCCCTTTCCCATAACCCTTGATTCCCTTACAGATTAAAAATCTATCTCAGCCTTGAATAACTTAATGACCGATCTTCAAAAGCACTCTGTAGTAATGAATTCCACAGATTCATAGCTCTCAGAGTAGAAACTGCTCTTCATTGCTGTCTTAGACATCTGTTTTGCAGACTCTCTACTTACTCTTGAAAATTTACTTTCCTACCTACTTTGGTGCCATTGGTACATTTATATTATTCGATCCCATCATAAGAATAGTTGATACAGATTATAAACACTTTGGGACCCAGCACTGTATCCTGTGGAATTCCATCAGTAACTGATTGCCAACCTGAAAGATACCCATTCATGCCTGCTCTCTATTTCCTAATATCTAACCAATGCTTTATGCATGCTAATGTGTTACATCTGCACCATGTGCTGTAATCTTGTGTAGCAACTTCCATGTAACAAATTGTCAAGCGCCTTTTGGAAGTAGAGAGGGTGGAGGGATGTAGGGAAGAAAGTCAACAGACCAAGACAATGGAAGACAGAGCTACTAACTGGGAAGCAATTACAACTGTGTATGCACAAGAATTCAGAATTAGAGTTTAGATATCTCAGGTGATTGTGCAGCTGGAGGAGTATACAAAGAAAGAGAAGTGCAAGGTCATGGAGGGATTTGAAAACAAGCATAAGAATTTTAAGGCCAAAATGCTATTTCACTGGAAGCTAATTTAAGTCAGTCTTCACCAAAGAGGTGTTTCAGTCTTCAGTTGAATCTTAAACTCACAACCATCCCACTCAGCAGCAATTCTATTACCAGTTGAGCTATGTCTGACACAACCCAAATTATGGAGGGGCCGGAATAGACTGGATGCTATTTTTATCCCAGAGAATTATGAGCCTCTGGAATACAGTGTGACAACAATGGTAGATACTGACTACATGCATGATTCATGCCATCCCCATCCAATGCCTCAGCAATGCCATCCAGCTGCGCAGGACTAAATTATCCAGTAAACCTGATATGGCTTTGGCTCCCACACCCACACTATCTGCTCTGATATCACCCATGGATATATGGCAGCCCCCCCAAACCCCAGCGTCCATTTGTCCACCTATATAAAAGGAGAAACATCAACAGATTGTGGAGTTTTTGTAAAAGGATTGCTTTGTAAATGGAGATCAAAAGTCAGGTATATGCTACTTGGTGGGCAGGAACCAGTGTTACAAACAGGACTTGTGCCCAGCAGGTGGGAGGAACTTGTGGCATGTGAGCAGGTTGTGCATGAGAGAGAGAGCAGAGGGTAGTATGAAAGGTGGGGATAGTGTATACTGGGGAAGCAGGCTCTGCATGTGGGGAGAGTGGGCAATGCACATGGATGTGCAGATCAGTGTTGTGTATGGGTGATTGGGCAGTGCACACACGAAAGCATGGGCCACATACAGGGCAGAGTGTGGACAGTGCCCTTGGGTGGCATGTTATGTATACAGGCGCAAGGGAACATGGGGCATGAGAAGAAAGTGATATATAGTGAAAGGAAGTGCAGTATTTTTTTTTTGCCTCCAGTAATTGGTGATAATATTCTAACTTAGTCAAATACAAACTTACTGAAACTAATCAAGAAACACTTGTGGTTAGATGAGAATGTGGGTAGCTTGTGTGCCATAAATGCAATGTGCATTTGCGGGAGCTCGTGGAGACCCCAGACAAGAATGTCTGCACCAAGAGCCTGTGGCTTCAATTGCTACTGAGCTGGACTGGGAGTAACAGAGCTGGAGTGGGAGAGGAACAGGTGGACACTTTGTCCCAGGAGCAAGTTCGGTTCCTTATAACTTTAGTATTGGATAATTGATGAGAATAAGGATGACAGCATGGCTGGTCAAACTGAATACCGCACCATGGTGCATGGAATCATTCAAGTTGGAGGGGGGGAGGGCAGTAGAGAGCGGAAAGGAATCTGACAGTAAAGGGGAACAGTTATAGTTAGGGAGGTAGATCATGTTTTCGACACTTAAAATCAGATCAGGAATTCCAAAGGATTTATTGCCTTCCTGGTTTCACAATTAAAGTAATCTCCTCATACTTTGAGATCCCTTGGAATAGGAGTAGAAGGACCCAGTTCTCATGATCCACATAAGAATCAATAACATAGATGGAATTAAGAATCATATTTTGCTAAGGAATTAGGTTTAATAACTTACACTCTTAGATCCATCACTCTTAAAGTGCTGTCTCTGGCGTGGATGAGTAGACGCCTGCCATTTGGGTGAACTTCCAGGTGATTTATAGGAACACCTTTTAGATCATTCTGCATTATATTCTGTAAGGAATTTTGAATATTGTTTTCAATATATTCTAAATGTGAAACCCTTGTAATATTCTTATATTACTTGATTAGATCAAAGAAATACACAAAATTTACACCACATTATAATCTCACCTACATAATGACACTAATGTTTACTAGATTTAGTGCTCTGTCCGATAACTTCAGACAACTTCAGTGCATATTAAATCATCACCCTAAACAGCTAAAAAATTCACCAGACCAAGTGCCAGTTAGGTAATTAACTGCTATCTGTCAAGCTTCAGTTCTAGCCAGGAATCTCGTTGTTGCAGTCCTGCTCTGCCTGAAATTACTTGCCAATTAGAAGCTGGTAGGCTCAGAGAGGTGAGGAGTGTGATAAAGGCCCAGGCAGCGCAAGAATAAGTGAAAGGCTCTGAGCGTAGGTTGGAGTTTAAGGGGAGATGGGGATCAGAGGCAAAAGCAGGGATGGTTCTCAGTAGCCACCCTGCTGTACTCCATAAATGGCTGAGTGCTCCAGAATGGGGGCAAGTGGAGAAACCCCAGCCCCCAACTCAAAGGTAGATTGTCCTGGTTTCCCTGATAGAAAAGCAGCCACTTTTCTTGCCTGCCAAGGCGGCAGATAATCAGGCTATGGCTGATCAAGGCCCGTATATGGCCATTAATTAACCATTTAAAAGCCTTAATTTGTAGCAGTTCGATATGGCTGCAGGTAGACCTCACTGAGGACTTAACTTCTGAGGGGGCAGGAAGCAGGCGAATATATATCTGGGGCAAACCTGCCAAATTATTTGCCTTTCTTGCCATCTTCCTTGCCACTTCCAAAAGAGGGGAAAGTCATGCCTTTATCACCAAAGGTAAAAATGGATGAGACAGCAGGAGTTTTCACAATAAGCTAAAATCAGAGGTTGCTGGAGGGCAAGCACAAGAGGAAATCAGCTCACATACAAAGAATTCTCTGTATGTTCTATCAAGGACTGGACAGCAAACTGCAGGCTGGGAAATGGGAGGATGGAAGAAATGAGGGGTGGCTCAGTCGTTAGCACTGCTGCATCACAGCTCCAGGGACCCAGGTTCGATTCCACGCCCCTAACCCTAACTCTACCCCTTCCCCCCCAACTCCACCTCACCTCCTCTGGGGGACTGTCTGTGTGGAGTTTGCACATTTCCCCCATGTCTGCATGGGCTTCCTCTGAGTGCTCTAGTTTCCTCCCACAATCCAAAGATATGCAGGTTGGGTTGATCGGCCATGCTAAATTGCCCATACTGTCCAGGCTAAGTGGATTAGCTGACAGGAGATGCAGGGTTACAGGGATAGGGTATGGGCGGTAGGTCTGGGTGGGATGCTCTTTGGAGGGTCAGTGTGGACTCAATGGGCCCAGTGGCCTGCTTCTGCACTGTAGGGATTTTATGATTCTGTGAAAACAAAACTGCTACTGCTTGAGAAGAATTTGGTGGAAATGCAAGCTGTCTGCAGATGCAAAGGATTTAACAAAATGCTCAGAATTTATTTGAATGAAATCAAATAACTAACCTTTTATGACAATTGCTGACTATATCTGTTGGTACATATTCTAAAAGGTTTTGAGACATGATGCTTAGAATACACCTATTTCAAAGGAAAGTTGTCAAACAACCCCTCAGGTAGGCAATTCCTTGACACTAAATGCAAAACAACTGAGGGATTATTTAATACTTTTACAGGACGTACTATTGTCAATCAGGAGATGTGTTGGCTACTTAAAACTAATGATCATGTAAAAAAAATTACTTGGTTGCCAGGCACTATTCTCACGAAATTTCTACTGTCCAAATCATGAAATAAATTGTAGTCACCACCTATTCAACAAATTGATCATTGCTTTTCTATTGCAAAGTATTGATACACCTTGGTTTATTAACATCAGAAGCCAAAACTCCAAGGTGTGAACTGCAGAATATTTAAATTTTCTGTTATTGTACCTCAGCAATGGTCCACTGCTGAACTAAGTTTTCTGGGGAACTTTGATTTACAACAGTACTCCAAACGATAACCAGTCCTGTACTGTCACCTGAGAACATGCGTAGCCCTGTGCAAAAAAAAAACAAAATAAAATTCTTATTTGGTTCAAAAACTACACAATACTGACGTTGTATTCTTTTTAACAATATTCTGGTAAACTTAGACTATGATGGCGCAAATGATAAAAAATGCATTGAAAATACAAAATAGATTTTCAAAGGACTTTTTCATATTTTTTGATTTTCTGTACTAAAAGTAGTTTGCGGCTATGTTACTAGCGTCAAGGTGGTGGGCTACATCTGACATCTGAACACTGTGCTATTGTTATAGTTTAACAGTATGAAGCTCAGGATCAGTGATTTTTCAAGCTCATTCATATTAAGACAGACCATTTTAAGCTACGAAAACAACTCAATGTTGGGAAGAACAGAAGCATTTTCAGTCTCCTTTATTAACTCAGCAAACCTGCCCTGATCCAATCCAGCTCCTCAGCCACTTGCACAGATTGATCAGACCACGTTAAACTGTGTATCCTCTTTGAACACATGGTGCAGATTTGCATCGCTACATGCCTAACCATCTTTTCCCTTCTCATGTTCTTAGGACATGGATTCAAATCACACCATGGCAAATAGTTGAATTTAATATAACAAAAGTCTGGAATAAAATATTAATGTAACAGTGAACAATATAACCACTGCTGATTGCCATAAAAACTCAAATGGTTCACAGATGTCCTTTAGGGAAGGAAATGTGCCATCCTTACCTTGTCTGGCCTTTGCTAACTCCTGATTCACAACGTGGTTGACGTTTAAATGTTCTCTGGGCAAATAATAATGGCCTAGTCAGTGATACTCATCTCCCATAAAAATCTAATTTAAAAAAGCCATGATGTTACTGAATGGCCGAGCAGGTGTGAGGGGCTGAATGGTCTACTTCCGCTCCTAAAATATATTATGTTTGTATGGCTAAAGACAGATAATTTCAGAAACTCTTCAACATTGATACAGGTTGATTGGCTAAGTTGAAGCTAATTCTAAGTGAAGTTTGAAAGACAGACTGGAAGTATGCCTTTTATTTTGAACATGAAAATATCTTACAATAAAATAACAATGACTGTTTATTGTAACTCGAATAAATATCAACAGAAACTCATAACCCAATTTAAAACTTTAAAACAACAGTACTCCTTCAATAAACAAATATTTCCGAAGTGCAGTGGCATTATAGACTAAACTACACTTATGTAGCTCCTCGAATAGTGTAAAACATCCCAAGGTGCTTCACAGCAGCATTACCAAACAGAAATTTATGACCATTAGGAGATAGACAGTAAAGAAATTGATCAACTAGCTAAGTTTTAAGAAGTATTTTAAAGGAGTGACAAAGATGAGAAGTTTAGAAAAGACATCTCGAGCTTTGGGTTTAGGCAAGTGAAGCTGGCAATGGTACAGTGATTAAAACTGGAAATATGCAATAGGTCAGAATGGGAGCAGCAAGAAGATTTCAGAGAGTTGTAGAGATAAAAGAAGTTAGAGAGACAGGGAGGATTCAAAAATGGGTGAAAATTTTAAATTTGAAATGTTGCCAGATCAGTAGCTAATGTGATGAAGACTGAGCATAGGGATGCAATGAGAATTGGTGACCTGTTGCAATAATCCCGATGATACTGCAAAAAAATGGTGTAGTAGACTCAATGTAGGGGTTGGAATCCACACTAGTTAGCTTCCAATAGTTTACGAAGTTTCCAATATGGAGGGCCGAGTACCAATGGCTGTCTGCACAAAAACTGGCAGGATGACAATGAGAAGAATGCTTAAGAATTTTCAGTTGATAGGTCCTTCTTTGCTGTATATAAGATCTAATCCTGTCTCCTTGGCATCACTTGTATCTCAGTTTGTAGTATACACACCCGAGTCAGAAAGTTGTGTGTTCAAGTTCAAGTTCACAAAACAAATTGAAAGCTGTCTCTACCCTTGGGTACTGAGGGAATACTTCACTGTCAGAAGCCTTGTCTACTTTCAGGTGGATGAACAACATAACTATATTTCAAATAAGAGCAGTTGGAAGTTACCCTAGGTTGCCCACCCAATACTTATACCTCAATCTACACCACAAAAAGCTGGTTATTAAGCCATTATTCCAGTACTATTTGTGTGAGTTTGCTATGTGCAAAATAGCTGCTGCATTTCCTACATTGTAAATGAAGACACTTCAAATGCACTTCACTGGCTGTAAAACACTTTGGAATCATATGGATTCCATATAATACATTTTTCTTGACTTCTAATTGCTTCTTCAACCATATGTGCCTAATGAGGTCCAGCAAAAATAGCATCAACAACCTGCTGTTGTGATGATTCTCCTGATATACAGAGTCACCTATGAAGTCATAAAGACAAAATTTTATTTAATTCACTCTGGAGAATGCACGTATAAGATCTGTAAATGTCAAGTAGAACTGTTGAATTCAGGAAAACAAATTATTCCAAAAAGGATGAACACAGTGCAGTGTTTAGATTTTATAAAATAAAAATAACAACCTTAACATTCATAACAATGTCTCACCAAATAATGTTCCACTCACCAGAACTGGTGGAGTCAGAAATAGCATCAATGGTGGAATATCACAACAAACCAAAGTCTTCAGTCTGTCTCAATAAATTACCCTGGGTATGTTGCTGTCCAGCAGTTTCTTGTTTTATTTTAAGAAAAACGAACTATGGCTTTTATATTACTCTTAGCTACATGTTACAGAAAGGTTAGGTATTCCCAATAAGTATTAGCCATTACAAGGCATCTGAAGCCATGGTTATCATTTCAGCAGTATTTTATCAACCATGCTGATAGCCTATATTGAATGTAGTTTTAGTTGCAATTTCATAAATTGAAGTGAACTTTTAAAGCCATTGTAGAAAAATCTATATTTCCACATGTAGTACTACTGCCTCACCATTATAGAACCAACCTAAAAGGCAGAAATTAAAGTGGGGTGAAAATAAGCAATTTGAACAGGTATGGTGAGATTTTGAATAAAGGCAATATAGTGATGTTTAATGTTTTCATTCTTCATTAGTGAAACAGTCCTTGTTGCAGTGGATGGCAAGACCAACGTGAGGATTAAAACAAACCCAACATATTGATGTGTTCTCTAACAGGACAGTAGCTCCCCCAAGTGCTCCTCCTTATTATAAAAGTCAACAACAGCCATGCTTACATAGAGTCAAAATTAGTTGCTGTAGTCAGGTTGGAAAGCAGTGGCTCAAGGGCATGCGTGGAGACAGATTACTGCAAAGGGCTAAGGAAGGAAAGGAAATTGAGAAAGCAGAGGAGAGTTAACAAGGGAGAGGGTAAAGGAGTAAAAACAGAAAATGCAGGAGAAACTCAGCAGGTCTGGCATTATCTGTGGTGAGTGAAACAGAATTAATTTTTCAAGACCAATATGATAAAAGGACTGCAGAGTTGCAAATATGTTATAGCCAAAAATAGAAGAAAAAAGGATAAACCTAGCAGAGATAATAGGAACTGCCGATGCTGGAGAATCTGAGATAACAAGGTGTAGAAACCTAGCAATTGCTTCCAGTGAGTTCAATGTTGCCAGTGGAGAATCCTTTAGAAATCACAACCTGTCAGAAAACTAACAAATCACTTGGACAAGCATAGATTAATGAAGGAGAGTAAACAAGAATTTGTTAAGGACAATTTGTTCTTGACTAACTTAATAGAACTTTCAGATAAAGGAGTAAAGAGGGTGGATAAGGAAACTGCAGATGTTGATGTTTATATGGAGTTTCAAAAGGCGATTGTTGAAATACTGCAAATTTGGCTCAATGGTAAAATTAAAACTTGTGAAAGAGTGAGCACAGATTCAATAGGGTGAATAACTTCCTTCTGTGCTGTACTATTCTATGTTTCTATGGTTATTCGCTCCTGGGATGGAAGGGCATTAGACTTGCAGCAGGAATAGAAGACTGACTGCAGGGCTTCTATAATTCTCAGCTGGAGGTACTTTAGGGAAAACAGTTTCTAAAGAAGATTCTCAGTATTGAGGAAGGTGGGTCTGGAGAAGCCCAGTGACACTGTTGGTTTAGGGTGAGATGGTGTGGTGAGAGGTAAGAGGCAAGGTGGCCCAGAATCACAGTTTCAGAACTTCCAGTTGCAGTGCATTTATCAACACTGAAGAGTTTAGCATTGGATAGCAAGAAATTAAATTTAACAGGCATGTAGGAAGCTTCATCTTCAGGTCTAATGGGATAAAGTAATGGAACAGATCTAGAGAAAGGGTTAAAGTTATTGATTTTTAGGTTTGAAAACCATTAGCCTTTTGGAACTTGTTGAGCAATCTATGTCTAAAGTACACAGGGAAGCAGCTAAAAATACAAACATGATGTTATTTACAGGGCCAGAGAGAGAAATCATGAAAAATCTGAATTCACTAATCACATTCTGTAACAACTTTAAGTTCCTGAATTTAGATAAGTTCAACAATTCTATATGATCTAGAATTTCATCAAAACACTCTGCATTATATTCATTTTCCTGTTGGGCCCAAAGTCTTTCCGCAGATCATGTGAACAGCTAAATTTTTCAATTTACATCCTTTGATTCAAAATGACTCTGTCATTTCTAAGATTTATCTTTTGTGATTTGGAGTCAATAACCACTAAAAGAGCCACACAGCACAGAATTTAAAACAAAACAGTTACTGCTAGATAAATTATACATGTTATGAATATTCCATTGAACTACACTAAAGTTTTAAAGAAAAGGATACAATGCACTTTTATTAATTAAATAATGGGTTTCATTGTTTAGGTTCCTGTAATATCCATATGTACAAAATAACAGAAACAACCACCACCGGTTATTTGTTTCCTTTAAAAGGAAGGGCTATTGTTTATATAATTTTGTTGCCTCGTCCCACTCAAATCACTTGGAATATGCTGCATGCTGTATGAATTTAAATTGTATGATGAGTAAAATAAGTGAGGAATTTAAGAAGAAAATTAGTGAATCATATATGATTGCTTTTTACATTCCAGAATACATGCTTGAATTCTCAGTGTACCACAAGTGTACAAGCCATTTAAATCCAAAAGGAACCAACTAGATTTGAGGATGTTTGGCTACATTTTGTTTTCCCATTGCCTTATGTTGTGTTCAGGCCTGCACTTACGTGCCCTAGCCTGACCAATCCTGTGCTACTATTTGAATGATGGACAACATCACAGACTAATGGAAAGCCAAAATATATGTCAATCAAGCACAGTTCCCCCAGTTTCTCTGTGGCTTTCACTCACCCGCCACCTACTGGGATCACCGCACCTAAATACTGACACACTTCCTCAACAATGTCTGATATATAAGCTTTCAATATATACTGAGATGTAATTTGTAATCTTTTCACTTTAAGATGTATTAGATGTAGAATAATATGTCTTCAGAACAATAAGTCTGATGACTCATAACTTTTAAAAAGCTTCATGACAATTCAGATGGTTATTTTTTATACAACTAGAACATGGTAAATACCAACTAACCTTCAGCATCAAAACACAGTGTGTTAATGAAGCTCTTGTGACCATCAAGTTCCTGAAGCAACTGACCATTCACTTCATTCACATTTATATTCCAGACACGGATGATAGAATCATAACCTCCTGTAACTACAAGGCACTGTACAAATGGATGATATTTTGCAGTATAAATAAATGAAGGATGTGGAAGGATCTTTTCAGCTGGGCTCTGATAGTTTTCTGTATTCCAAACCCTGAAAACAGTAAACACATCACAATATGTTGGTTCAGATACTTTTTTTTAAAAAACAATTCACCTAATAGATTTCTTTGCATCCAATACTTTGAATGCTTATATAACAAAACAACATTTAGGAGTTGAGCAAATTTTACACGTAATACAATATACAAAAGCCATTCAAACAGTTCGAAGGACAAAAAGTGCAGTTTTTTTTCCAGTAACTACTTCTTTATAATTCAAATTACATCAACAATGTCAGTTAGTGATATTCACTATATTTCAAATTACAATTTTATAGGGCGCAGTCACACAATTCCAGTTGATATCTATATTAGGTCAGTAGTTCTCAATTATTCATTCAGGGAAGGATGTGATAAAGCATCAATTAACAATGACACAATGTTAAATAAGAAACACTGGAGTCAGAGTTAGTTACACAGCATGTAAACAGAACGTTTGGTCCAACTCGTTCGCGCCAACCAGATATCCTAAACTGATCGAGTCCCATTTCCAGCATTTGGCCCATATCCCTCTAAATCCTTCCTTTAATATACCCATCCAGATGCCTGTTAAATGTTGTAATTGTACCAGCCTCCACCAATTCCTCTGGCAGTTCATTCCATACACACAGCATCCTCTGTGTGAAAAAGTTGCTCATTAGGACTCACACCATGGCAACTAGAGGAATTTGAATCCAATGAATTAATCTGGAATTAGTAGCTGGTCTCAGTAACAGTGACCATGAAAGGACTGTCGACTGTCATAAAAACACACCTAATGTCCTTGAGGAAAGGAAATCTGTTGTCTTTACCTGCATTGGCCCACATGTGACTCTGGCCTGCAGAAATGTGGCTGACTTCTAAATGTCTTCTGAAGTGGCCTAGCAAGCTATTCAGCAGTATCGATCCACTGCAGTACTATCGTAAAGAATGGAAGTACCCAGCATTGATCCAGGTACTCGAACGATGGCACACACCCAGCCTTAACAACCCTGCATTCTCCTCCTTAATAACATGTGGGGATTGTGCCAAAATTGGGACAGCTACTATAAAGACTAGTCAAGCAACAGCCTGAAAAAGTCATACACACCTGATCAGACTTTACAATGCTCCAGATATCACCATTGCCATATCAACGGTAGAGGACAAACCCACCTGAAATTGGGTGGAAGTCAAAATTGTGCAACTGAAGTTGCAAGCAATTTCTACATAAAATTCCATTTCTTGCTTTAATTTCCTCAAATTGAACTTGAGATAATTTTCACTTCTTATAAACTTGAAATTCAGGAATTGAAAGGAGGGAGGAACTCAAGAAAATTACAATTACCAGTATAGTAGTACTGAGTAAATTGTTCAAGCTGCTAATTGACCAGATGGATTTCATCCCTAGAGTCTTAAAAGGAGTTGTCACTGAGATAGTTGATGCTTTGGTTTTAATTTTCTAAAACACATTAGATTCAGTGGAGGTCATTAAATTCAGTGGAGGTTCCTTTCCTTTAGATTGGAAAACACCTTAATGTAACTGCTTTATTCAAAAAAAAAATTAGCTTAACATCTGTCATGGGGAAAATGATGCTATTCTTAAAGACATTATAACAGGGCATAAAGTAATCAGGGAGAGCCAACAGTTTTTTTTAAATGTATTCATGGGATGTTAGCGTCACTGGCCAAGTCAGTATCTACTGCTAGAGGGCAGTTAAGTGTCAACAACATTGCTACAGGTCAATATATAGCCCAGATCAAGTGAAAACAGCAACCAGGTGGGTTTGTCCTGATTAAATCCAGATATTTATTGAATTCAACTTCCACGGCAGGATTTGAACCTGGGTCCCCAGAAAATCACCTGGGTCTCCAGATTAATAGTCTAGCAATAATACCACTAGGCCATTGCCTCACCTAAAGGGTGAGTGTTATGGACCAGACCAAACTCCCTTAAAACATATCAAGTAGATAGCCTAGACCCTACCTTTTATCTTATTTAAAGGCAAGTGTGAAGCATTCCAGATGTGATTCAATTGGTCAAACTACAAGGCTTTAAGCAAAACACACTTTATTCTCACATCACAGTTAAAATACAATTAAAAAAAGAATTGACATAACTTTAATTCTATCGAAATACTTACCAAAATAATATATATTAATATATTAATATATAATATATATTTTAACTACTATTCATCAAGTGTTCCACTATAGCAGCATCCCGTTAATACACTCTTGGCAGAAGCAAATTCAGCAAAACAGATTTCCCTCACTTGCTATCTCCTCCAGTCCAGTTGAAGGAACACTGACAGAATGAATCTAGCAGCAGAGAGAGAGAGAGAGCTGTATCTTTCCAGCTTCAACTCTAAAAACCCTAACCTCTTCAATAACTGAAAGCAAAAGTAAAACCCTGGGTCTGTGTGCGGCTGACTCCACTGACTCATGCTTCTTGTCTGTATTTTTTAAAAAAAACAAAGCTATTTACTTTGCTTTCCTTGGAGCAGACACTTCGGCACCAGATTTACAACACGCTCTTCAAGAGAAACAGAGCAGAATAACTTCCTCTTAAAGGCACAAATCATCACTGAAGTCAAAGGGAAAGTCATGTTTAGCTAATCAATTGGCGCTCTTTGAAGGAGTAACTTGTGCTGTGGCTAAAGGAGAACCAGTGGATGTACCTGCGCTCAGGTTTTCGGAAGCATTTGATAAGGTGCCACATCAAAGGTTATTGCGCAAAATGAAAACACATGTGGTGGGGATAACATATTAGCAAGAAAGAAGATTGGCTGGTTAAAAGGAATCAGAGATTAGGAGTAGATGGGTCTTTTTTAGGCTGGCAGGGCTACATAAGTCAATGCTGGGGGGGCTTCAACTGTAAATAATTTGGATGAAGAGACCGATGGTATAGAAGCTAAATTTGATGATGACACAAAGATAGGTAGGAAAGTGAGTTGTGAAGATGACATAAGGAGCCTATAAAGGAATATAGATAGGTTAAGAAAAGATCTGGCAAATGGACTATTGTGCAGAAAAGTGTGAAATTGTCTCTTTTGGCAGAAAGAATTTAAAAAGGCATATTATCTAAGATTCTGCAGAGCTTTGAGATACAGAGAGATCTAGATGCCCTGCTGCATGAACGGTAGGTACAGCAAGTAATCAGGAAAGTTAACAGAATCTTATGTTTTTTTGCAATTGAGAATTGAGTGCAAGAATAGGGTGGTTATGCTTCAGTTATACAGTGTATTGGTGCGACTACATCTGGAGCACTATGTACAGAACTAGTCACTGTAACTACATTACTGTCTTGGAAACAGTTCAGAGAAATGTTTACTAAACTAATGTCTAAAATGAGGACTGCTTTATTAGGAAAGGCTACGCAAGCTAGGGCTGTATCCTCTGGAGTTTAGAAAAGTCAGAGGTGGCTTAGTTGAAGCGTAGAAGATCCTGAGGGGACGTGATGAGGTGGAATGTGGAAAATTTGCTTCCTCTTGTAGGAGAATCTAGAATTACAGAACATAGTTTAAAAATGAGGGGTCACCCATTTAAGACAAAGATGAGGGAATTATTTTTTCTCCCAGAGGCTTGAGAATCTTTGCAATTTCCCTTCTCAAAAGGCAGTGCGTGCAGAATCTTTAAATATTTTTAAGACAGAAGTAGACAGATTCTTGATTACTAAGGGGCTGAACGATTATTGGTTATATAGGAAAGTACAGTTGAGATTAAGATCAGATTAGCCATGATCTTATTCAATGCTGGGGAAGGCTCAAAGGGCAAAGTGGCCTATTCATGTTTCTTGTTCATATGTTAAGACAGAAGTAGATAAGATTGATGATCAAAGTGTTGAAAGATTATCAGGGATGACATGTAGGAATGTAAGAGCTGTGGTTAAGATCAGATCAGTCATAATATTATTGAATGGCAAAGCTTGCTCTAAGAACTAAGTGACCTATTCTTGCTCCTTGTTTGTACGTGCATACAAAAGCCATTCATCAATATTAAAACAAAACTCTTGTTGCCACTCCAACATCCTGTAGCCTTGAGTTTAAAGTGCAAACTTCCAAATCAAACCTTGTTAAACTACTTGCTGAAAATCATTTTTATTTCCAAAGCTGGCTCCTGATACAGTAAACTCTCTCTTTGTGTGTCAACTCAAATCTGTAGTTACTAAAAACATGCTGTATGTTGGTTATTGGGAACGAAGTAAAATTTAGCATGCAAAAATTTCTCAGGATCTGAGACAAAAATTAGGTGCTATTTCCAGGTTTCACATTCAAAAGTTCAAACAAACAGCAAGCAGCAGCAATCTCAAATCTTTATTGTTCTATAGAGAAATGATGGTGACATTGATGAGCTATTTTTGGGTGACAACATCAATGGTATTCTAAGTAGGGAATGGAGACAAAGCTTGAGGCAAAGAGAATGCAACAAAATTAGTAAGGAACAAATAAACAAGTTACCATCAGTACATTTTCAATAAAGGTTATTCCATTCTATCAGAAGAAATTCATTTAAAATGTGCACTAACCTTACTGTACCATCCGATGATGCAGAGAGAATGGTTTTATCATCATTTGACCAGCATAGAGAGTACACAATGTTAAAATGTCCATTAAATTCTCCTAATAGATGCCCAGAAGGAATTTCATAAACTAAATCATTAAATGAAAAGGCACAAATTAGTCTGGACAGTTTCAAATATTTTTAACCACATTTGCAATTTCTCAAGAAAAAGACTTTTTTTGGCATAAAAATTTTGCAATTAACTGTACAGTAATTAATTTTGGAAAAATGATGGGTTTTTTTGCTTTCTTATTTAGTGCAAACTGGTCATTTTATACTTTATATAACAAGGTAGGCACTTGTATCACTTTGAAAGTTTTGCTTTTACATTCAAAACAAACAACATAGATACTGTCAAAGTGAAGACATGGTCACAACATTATAAGAACTATACAAATGTGCTCACTACCTTTTGCATATTCTAGTATTAGCTGGAAGAAATTGGGCCTATAAAAACATCACAAACCTAGTTCTTTATTTCCTTTAGAAAATGTATGATTCTGTGACTGACAAACTCTACACTCTCTCTGCCTCAAATAATGGCCACTCTTTATCCACATATTTAAGACTTCACTTCAAGAGACTTCTCAGTCACAGAAGAGGAGCAGTCAACACAACTGAGCCCAATGCTGTCTTCGCCTAATGGCAATGGCATTTACTAACAGAAATTCCTGGAAGTAATCCAGAACCGGAAATGGACTGATTTTTGCCCATTCTAACCTCAGAGTGTAAAGGTCATTTGTAGTACAATTACAGTTGCTCACTGAAACTTTTTTTAAAATGGATTAATAAGAAAGAAACACCAGGAACTTCATTCCAAAGTGAATATAGATTTGGGAAACTTCCATTAAAAAGGACAGAGGATATTTTATCTTTTCCACATATCTTGTCCTAGCATAAAATATAAAGACACTCAAACTTCTCAGATCACAATATTATTTGCACGGGTCGACCAAAAAGTATCGCATCTGGCTCAACTCCAGTGCCTGCCTACTCCTGCACTGCCACGTGTACAGAGGGATAAGTGCCCAGCTTCAAACATTTCCCAGAATCAGCTCCAATTAGCCTCAAGAGCAGGAAGATCAATCTACAGATTCCTCAGGGGTCTAGGCACTTGCCTTGAATTCAACTGATGAAATTCTTATGTGCAATCATCTGTACAAAGCAGTGCCAATATGGCATGATGACGCCATTGGTGCTAAGGAAACCCTAATTCAAACCTTGAATGGGCTTGTACTCACTGGAATTTAGAAGAATGAAAGGGATCTCATAGAAACATAAAATCCTGATGGGACTGGACAAGCTCGATGAAGCATGAATGTTCCCCAAGTCCAGAACTTGGGATCACAGTGTAAGAATAAAGGATAAGCCATTCAAGACTGAGATGAGGAAGAATTTCTTCATTCAGAGAGTTGTGAACCTGTGGAATGCTCTCCCACAGAAAGCTGTTGGGACCAGTTCATTAGATATATTCAAGAGGGAGCTGGATGTGGCCATTATGTCGAAAGGGATCAAGGGGTATGAACAGAAAGTGGGAATGGG